AACAGAGAAATATACTAGCTGGTAAATCTGTAAATGTGCACAGCCTCAGATCTTTAAATCAATCAATCAAGATGAGCATCTTTGAGATGCCTTCATGAATACAGGAAATACAGAGGGTTTGTGAAACGGTGCAAACCACCGTTACACTCAAGAACAAACATCCCAGAAAACATTTTAACGAGTCGGCACAGCTCTGGAAAAAAAATCTGTGGATGAATGAAATGAATGAAAACAAGGAAAGTACGGAGAATAAGGGTCATGGCTCACGATCTGATCAAACCACTGCATCTCCAGGGTGGAGGCTTCGAGACTTTCCCAAATATTTCTGAGCCTCTAAAAAAAAAACACTGGGCCTGTGTATAAAACTGTGACCTTTAAAAACACATCATCGATTTTTTCTTGAATAAGAAATGAAAAGGCACTGAATGTTTTCATCAGTTTAATTTCACAAAGATTATTTTTTTAAACATTTCTCTGTCATATCTTAAAAAAGGGAAACATCAGTTAGTATGAAAACACTTCACAGAATTCAAACTAATGGCCTCAAGAGTTTCAGATCTCTCTCTCAGAGGACCTGTTCAGCTTATTTCCAGCTTTTATTCTGGAACTCTATCAGAGTAGCTTTGGATGATTCACATAAAATAATTCATCTTTGCATTACACTGCCCACTCAGCTCATTTTGTGTTTGAAAAACCCATGAAGCTTGGTTTCTCCTGATTGGTCAACGTCAGGGAGCCTATTGAGAGGAAGGACTAAGAATGTGTGAGGTACACTTCCTGTTAAAAAACTGGAAGTGTTTAGAGCGGCGTACAGGACTTCGGCATGTGGCATTTGGATCATTTAAAATGACATGAAAAAAGCAGAACAGGTCTCCTTTAACATCTCAGAAAAAAGAGAAATCTTTAAGGCACAGAGTCGAATACGATACTCACAACATGTCAACTTTCAGTTGTTAAGCATAAAATACTGTCGCACGCTGAGGAGGAAACGCTGTAAACGGTCACTTAAAGGCACTTTTCGTAGAAATCCTCAGCAACATTCAATGAAAAGGAGTCAGAGAGGCGCTCTGTGCATGAACGTCAGCGACTTCAAAAAGACGTTGACGTGTTGATGACGTTCTCGCGGTTACCAGGAGTGTTTAGTGTTTCATGTTGGCATCTGATTTAAGAGAAATGGTTTTGTCTTCCATCTATGAGCTGCTTTTTTAACTCATCTTTCCTGTTTTATCAGACGATCACTGCGAGTCGGTGCAAACCGAGCGTACAGGAAACGTTTTTAGTTCTTATGCTTCGATCAGCTGAAACTTTCCAACGCATCCAAAAAACGATTCCTTTGGTCACGGTCAAACAAACGTGGTCATTACAAACCATTCAGCTCCCCTCAGTACCCGAAGCCTGAATTAATCCCTAATCAGTCATTCAAGTATAACATTTTGTTTTATGTTGTTCCTTCATATCCTGTATCTTTGTGTTTTTTTATATAATATTTTATTCTAAAAGAACTTTGATGATTTTTCAAGTTTAAATAAACTAAATGTTCAGTCATCAGTTTTGAAATCACCAATATTAAACTTATTTTCTTTATTAAATTTATTCCATTACTAAACATACACATAATTGACTTAAGTATAAAATACAAAAAATAAAAATTTGTCAGATCTTCAATGACAAATGAATTATTATTTTGAAATGACTAAGCACACACTTTATTTATAAACAATAATAGTTCGTTTATTTTTTTTTTTTATTTTAAAGTTTGTAAGTCTACTGTTTATTTAGATATCTTAGCTATTTAATATTTTTGATTTAGTGTCATAATGTTCCCTTTGAGATTTTTTTATAAATAGGTTTTTCTATGTTTTTCTTTCCTGGAGGAAATGTTTTTGGGTTTTTTGTTTTTTGCCTTTACTTTTGAAATGAATTCATTTTGATTCAGTCCATCGCCTCAGTTTTATTCTTTGGCTCCTGAAATCTTTAAAAGGCTGAATAAAAAATGTGGATGAGTGTCACAGCGTAACAACCCACAGGTGTGTTGTTCATTATCGGCTGTTGGAGTGTGCTTGTTGTGTTAAAGGCAAATAATCACCTAATGGTGCACGCTGGAGTGTTTTCTTTATGAGAAGCAGCTGAAAACTATGAGAGGAATATTTGTGACTACAGTACTTTAGCTTTAGTGCAGCAGATGCAGGAGGAGTGCTGTGGTTCTGAGTGAAAGTGGGGGTACTCGGAAATGTGTGGATCTCAGCAGGCAGGTGGTGGCAGGGGTCCATCTCAGGATCCTTTCTCTTTACCTGGACACCTACAGAACAGGAGGAGGAGGAAAGGAGGTTAGATAAAGACATCACCCTGGCTGCTACAACACACACTGAATGTTTCAAATCTTCTTTTCATTACATCACAGGGGCACTGCAGTATTTAAGCTTTACTCAATGAAGACTCGTGTTTGACCTTGTTTTCTGTTGAATGCTCACATTAAATCCCTGGATGCTCAATCATCCAGGTAAGTAAATCTCCAAAAGTTGATTCTGTTCATCTGGACGTAGCTCACAGACGCTACGTCCAGATGACCAGAATCAACTTTTGGAGATTCATATGAAATATGGTCAAAGTTTCTAGTAATTACATAAAAGTATATAAAAGAAATCTCTATGAGCCAAGAACTCGGGCTTCAAACTGTCGAACATCAACATGATCAACACGACCCGCTCAAGTTCAAACTGAGCATCAGAGTGAAGAAGAAAGGGGAAGTACGTGACTCTGTGCCAGACCAGCTGGTCTGAGTATTTCTAAGAATCTGATGATCTGCTGGATTTTCCCGCACAAACATCCCACAGTCTGCCCGAGCACTGCTGCTGACCATCTCCATCCCTTTACGGCCACAGTGCTCCATCTTTAGATGGCTGCTTCCAGCGAGATCGCACACCATGTCAGAAAGATCAGACCATCTCAAAGTCGTTTCAACTACAAATGAGTTCGTTTTCTTTACATGTAACTTAGTCTCTGGGTCAGTGTACGTAAAACTAATTACAGGTAAAATAATAAGTTACAGTTACAGGTGGCTTTAACCATAAGCGTTTAAAAAACCGTCACTTATCTCCCTACAGTCGGTGTTTTTAGCGCTACCGGAAAAAATCATTTTACTGAAGGACCAACAAAATTCTTTAGCCTGTTAAAGTTTCATCGATCTAACTAAACCTGAGGACCGATTCCCCCACATGTCCGCATAAAGACAGTGATCACTTCTGAGAACTTTTATAACATTATATTATGTATAAAAATAAACAGTTTTTAAAAAAATGTAAGCTGTAAAAACCCTCAAAATATCCAAAAGTAATAAATTAGAAAAAAGATTTAAAATGTTCTTTTCCCAATTTTACCAGGTTTTCATAAATTAAAAAAAACAACTCAAAACTTATCACAAATATTTCTATATTAATATTTATGTTTAAATACAGTGTTGTTGGTTTAAACCAGCGTCTCATATTTTCCCTGCGCTCTGTTCTCTCTCTCTGACAGAGCTGGGTTACTTTATACAGAGGAGGATTTCCAGAAGACCGAACACTAATCGTTCTCCTAACTGGAGTATCGGGAGCACTGTTGGGAGAAAACTGGGAGAAAGAAGACTAAAGTCTCCATATTTGGAACAAAAGGCTGGAATATCACACCTTACCTGCCGACTCCCACAGAGGGTCAAAGACTTGTGAAGTCCAGACTTTTTTCCTCCATTGTATCTTCTAATTTCCCAGATTTTTTCCCGAAGTTTTCCGAATACTGTCAGAAATCGTCTCTCTCGAACCTGAGAGCAGACACTGTGTGTCGTTCACTATCACTGATCTTTAAATTAAGACAAACCGCACAGTTTTTAGTCCATGTCTTCATTTATATAAAACTTTTACCAAAGGAAGTATTTACAAATTCAGAGGCATTGATACAAATCAACAATCAAGTGCAAACAGATCAGAGATGAAACCAGCTCACACAGATTTCACACAAACTCAAACCAGCAGGAAGAGGAAACTAAACCCGATCCTGCAGGCAGATCTCCACCGAGGACAAACCAACCTCGGGAAACAACCGCAGCAGGATCTGATCCGAGGATGTGGTTTAAAACCGCCAGCAGGAGGCGCTGCAGAGCGTCAGCGGAGAGAAAACCTGGAAACTGACTTTGGAGTATCTGCGTTTCAGCAAAAACAATCAAATAAAATGAATATGGATTTTCATGTAATTAAAGTGATATCAGCCTGTGTCAATATCATTTTCTATATAAAATTTATTTTATGTAATTTGCAATATTTTAGTTTTTAATGTAGAGAAAATAAGGTAAAGTAAACGTAAAGAGGAACAAACAAGTTATTTTTCTGTGAATCTGTAAGATGTGACAGGATTATTTTACAGAGCAGAAGTAGATGTTTATCACTGTTTCTACCTCGAGTGAATAAAGAAGAATCAATGTTGTCTTGTTATTCTAAAAAGGTGGAAAAAGCCACTGCGAGAGAGAAAATTGGGATTCTAGTTTATATTTTCACAAGAAAACATTGAAAAAAAAAAAGATGTAAAGTTTATGATGTGATGTTTAATGAAAAATAAACATCCCATCATAATTCCTCTGATATAAATCAGCTGATATCTACATAAAGACATTTTAATGTCAGTTTGAGATTAAAATGATCATCTACAACGATCAATTCATAACATTTAATAAGTGCAGAAATGATCCTTTATTAGCCGCACAGAACTCAAAGGACTCATTTTCACTAGAAATTTATGTCATTAAGAAGAGCTTAGAACAAAAAGCTTCTTCTGGCTGAAATCTGAAGCTTCCTGCTGGGTTTCCTCTTCCTTTCGTTCACCACCACCCCAAAGATTCCCACATTAAATAAAAACAGCTTATATATTATTATGTATGATAGATATTAATTTCAGACTTCCAGAGAGAAAGTGTCAGCTGGAGGTTTTTTGTTTGCTTGTTTTACAAAAACTGAAAATAAACGTAACATTTTTTTGTCCCTTCACAGTTTGATTTTGATAATCTCACACTGGAAACAGAAAAAGAGCCTTCAATCATCATGAGAAAAAATCGGAAAAATAATTAAAGTTCATTTTTATGCTTTGGGAGATGTGGCTTCGTGTTTGTGTCTCCGCGTTTCTCCGTCGTCAGGTCAGTTTCTCGTGAAATGATGGAGCTCCTAATATTCACAGACTGTGAGCTACATTTATCCCACTTTAGGTTTAATTGAGGGTTTTTTTTCTGACACAATAAAAACATCAGAGGTTCAGTTAGTGAACTTGTATTTGAGAGTTTGTCATCTTTACACATCAGTGGTTTATGTTTAACTGTATGTGAGGAGAACTGTAACTTCTTTAGTGTAATCTGGCAACATTTTCAAGAAAAATATTCCACTGGGGAAAAAATCCTTTTTAAGTAAGAAGCTTTTACAGATCTGCTGCGAGGGACGCACAACAAATCCAAGACGTTAATGTGTGGCACTTTAACACCACACACACGAAGCCAGATTAATGTGCAGAGTGCACCTTCCCCTCAGGCAGGTTAGCATCCACAGGCCTGCCACACGTCTCATTTGGTTATACGCGTTTACTCTGACACAGCCGAGCGTGACAGAACCACGCATGCTAGCATCCGTCTCTCTTTCCCCTTTGTATCCACTTCCTGCTGCACAGAGAGAGCAATGGGGCGCTGCTGCAGCCCAAACTGGTGGTGGGTGGTGTTAACATGACTCCGCTGCCGACTCATGAGAGCAGCAACTTTCAATCATCTCCATCCATAACCACGTCCCACTGCATACATGTATAGTGTGTTGTGGAGCCTGAAACAGTTATAGTGAATAGCGCTTCATATAAGCATCAGTAACAGTTCTTGCAGTTTGTCACGAGCTGCAGTTACAAGAGCCTGAAGTGCAGACCATCTCACTTCACACGGAAACTTATGCTAAGCTGCTTAATCAACAAGATTTTAGTAGAATTTATTAGTAGATTTATATTTTCAATAATAACCTGTAAACTGCTTTAAATGAAATGTAGTTCAGTAAATGCTGTGTCTGTATAAAGACTTTAAAGATGGAGCAGCTAGCTTTCCTTCCAGCTCCTTCTTAATTTAGAGCTTTTTCTTTTCTCCACACAGATGTTTTGATGGCTAATGTAATTGGCTGATAATGGAGAGTGTTAACGGACCAATCAGTCCAATCGGGGGCTCAAACAGGCCAGCGTGAAGAGACGGGGTTACGTCAAGTGCTGGCAGGATTTAAATAAACAACAACAGAGGCAAACTGCTGCACGGCGACGGTGGTGGATGTGAGGAAAAACAAAACTTGCTGTAATCACAGAATCTTAACCTGCTGCAGAGATCAGGAGACCAAAACGACTCAACCTCTCCTCCCAAAGCTGAACGACGTAAACACCGAGACGCAGCTCAGACACACACACGAAGATAAAAATCCACAACCGCCTCGACATGATCGAGACAAACAGGAGCAGAAAAAACATTCAGGACGCCACCGCAGGACGCCTACTTCAACAAGACGCCTGCGGCAGGACATTTTGGCGAAAACAAACAAACATCACGTTATGATCGTAGTTTAAAGGTGCTCCAATCAACGAGCACATTCCCCGCCGACACGGGAGCTGCAGATAAAGCAAAGCCTCCCGGACAGTCCCGTAACTGTACACCGCAAACTTTACACCAACACAGTCGTATGGCTTCTGTACAGATGAGGAGAAAAGGCACCAACACAAACAGTCCCTCAGCGGAGACGCACCCGGAGGAGCAACGATTTACCCCGGAGGTTTTCACTGTGCAGCCGAGAAAAGTAAAGGGCGGTAATTTGTGCAATTTGGGAATTAAAGACAAAAAAGGAAGCATGTTTTAACAAAAGCAGAGAGTTATTTAGGGTTTTAGTCTTCATTACTATGATTTCTCCACATATTTAGCTTTTTTTAGTCAACACACGATAACAAATGAGCCAAAAGTTCAAATGACTTTAGTTCATTTCTGATTATTGCAGAAAAATAAAATAAGACTAAATAACTTTCAAAACGTTGAATTTTTAATGTACCTTTTGATTGAATTTAATTAAATGTTGTAGTTTTGTCTTCCTTGCATTTCATAATGACACTTTTATCACTTTATCTTTCTAAATTTTAACTTTCCGATTCTGCTTCCATTTCTGTGACTTTTATTTACAAATGCTGCGTTTTTATTTTAAATTGTTGTGATTTTCACTGAACTTCCTTTAGGTTAAAAATGTGTATTGAATTTTAAAAGTTCTTACATCACTTCAAGCTACTTTGTACATTTTGTATACAAACATGTAAATTACTTATTCAAAGTTACACTTCGGGCTCCCATAGAAACCGTCCCTTTTTCCTGTTTTAAGGTGGAATTTAAATGTACGGGGGCTGCACAGTGAAAACTTCCCATCAGACTACGGTTGCCGTTGTCCTCCACCAGCAACAACAATAATCAACATATGAACGATATTCAGCGTAAGGCGATTCTCTTTTCATTTACTAAAGAGTTTTAAGGCAGAGCTGGCGAGACGCCGCGGAGGAGAAAACAGACTGAGGGTGGTGAGGGTTTCTGACACTCTGCGGCTCCTTCCTCATCCTCCTCCTTCTCTTCCTCTTGCTGCCGTTGTGCTTTGAGCAGTTAGGTTGTGATGTGGACAGCAGAGGGAGGAGACACGCCTCCCTGAGCTCTGAGGAGGAGAGAGGAGAGATTAGTGATTAGGAGGAAAAAGCAGGATAGAAGAGAGGGAGAGAGGGGTAAAAACCCAAACCTTCCTCACCCTCTCATCCTCCAAAAAGGAGGACGATACAGGAGGGAGCAGCTCTCCTCTGCATCACAATGCATGTGGTTTAGTTTTTAGGTCTGAGGAGGCCATCTTCTCCTCCTTTACATTACTGGAGGAGGAGAAAGGAAGCAAGGAGGTCTGTGTTTTTTGTTCAGGGGTGCAGAGAAAGGAGAAGGAAGGGGGAGAAGAAAGCGCAGTATCCTATAGTCCAGATGAGGCGAGGAGGTTAGGAGGTGAAGGAAAGAAGGAGGCCAGGAGGGAAGGCTGAGCTCAGGAGGAGGTGTGGAAAAGGCGAGCAGGACGTCAGGAGGAGGATGACTCGGGAGGCCATCAGAGGGGTGAGGAAGCAGGTGAGCGAGCAGCAGATGAACCTCTTTCTTTCTGATAGATGCCCAGTTTGACCTTTGACCCCGCCAAGAGCACACAGGAAGTGAGATGCCCGAAAGAGAGAGAGCAGAGAGAAACAGGAATCACTTCACCAGCACTGACTTTGGCAGAAACGCCTCCATCTCTGCGTCTATGTCCGTCTTCTCGGACGTGGAAGATGAGGAGGAGGAGGAGCTTGCGGACGCCGAGCCGGCAGGCGCTTTGGGGAGGCTGTACATGTAGACTGCACCGATGACAAGCCCCGCCCCTGCAGTGAAGAGTACGTCCACATGGAAGCCGAACAGGTAGATGGACGTCACCGTGGAGACGATGATGGAGAAGGAGGTGGCGAAGCCCTTGAGGATGTTGTCGGCGTACTTCACCACCAGGGCCACCAGCAGCCCACCGAACGCCTGGTTGAAGATGACGCACCACACCATGCTGGTGTACCCAAACAGGAAGCCACGCTCGGCAACGGCGGCGCCATCATTCCACCACAGTCCCAGCAGGCCGAGCACCATGCCGAAGATTCCCAGCTGCACATTCCTCACCCACACGGAGGCGGAGCTGCCCTTCAAGATCTTCTCAAAGTATACGCCGGCAAATCCCGACGACAAGCAGCTGATCACCACGGCAACCAAGCCCACGGTGTAGTTCTGAGTGGAGGTGTCCTTCACCGACGCCTCTTTGTTGCCCTCCTGCTGCACCTGCAGAGAGATGATCAATGCGTCAGCGTTCGAGCCGGGCTTCATGTTTACGGGGAACATCGTCCCTGAAAGGTTCCCACACGATTACGACTGAAGAGCTTAACTACGCCCATCCCTGTTTATTCACCTCCCACCGCATTTTTCTGCCCCCTCTGCCACCTCACCTACGCCACAAACGCAGCAGCTCATTTCAGCATTAAAAGTTGGAGCCACAGAAACCGCAGAGACGCTTACTCTTAAACCTCTCTGTGAACTGTGGCTACACAAAGCAGCCGCCTGATTTGTTAACTTAAATTTCAGGGCTTCTGGGGAACGGCAGGTGGTGGTAGCTCACCTGCACGATGGCGACGCCGGCAAACAGCAGCAGCAGAGAAATCCACTGAACTCTGGACAGAGACTTCCTGAGCATGAGCACGCTGAACAGAGCCGTGGTGAGGATCTTCAGCTGGTAGGTCACCTGAGGGACGGAAAGGAAGTCACCATTTAACTGTGTTTAATCGAATGTACACAGATCTGAAGCATTTATTAAATCTCAGTGTCTGTAAGTCTGTGCATTAAAAGTTTTACAAGTTATTAAAGAACTTGGCAGCTCAAGATAATAATGTGTAAAGAAAATTGCTCCTAAAATATCTGAAAAATGCCAAAAATATGAACAGTATAAAATAAAATTAGTATTAGAAGTTTCATTCCTGTTGAAATATTGATTATGTCCTACTAGAATCAAATGACAGAACAGATCCAGAACACCGTTATTGGTTTGATTAAACCTTTCAGTTTATAAAAAGATGCCAAATGTTTCGGTCAATCGACAAACCCGTTAATCACCCGGCTGTTTCGATAAGAACAGACATGCAGAGACGAGGCGGGTTCGAGCGCCTTCTCTGTGAACGCGGTCTGACCTGGAAGGTGGCGGCCGGCAGGTTGGAGATGGCCACGTACTGCAGGTTGTTCTGCAGAGTGTAGATGAGAGAAGGAACGGCGAGCTTCAGAGTGTCTTTGTACTGAACCACGATGACGTCGATCAGGAAGTACACCGTCTCCTTCACGTTTACTGCAGAGAGAAAGGGGCGGAGCTAAAGGCTGGTTTTGTGCCTGCTGATCTTTGATCGTAGCCTCCAAAGCAGCTCAGGTCTATGATGACAGCAATAAAAAGTAAGCCATGCTCGAGTAAGTAGCCCAAAATTGAGGGATGGGGTGCTGCCCCCTAGTGTTAGGAGGCTGCTTTGCATCTTATACCCAAACTGGGGTTAAACATAATGAAATGTAAATAATTGCCCTTGTTAGTTTTAAATAGAAATACTAGTTTTTTGGAGTATTTATTTAGCATGAATAATTAGAACACGAGGAAGCTGCTGCTTTGCTGGTCAGGGCTGTTTTAACTCCACCCAAATCAAATCACTATTTGAATTTAAAGCCGTCCCTCCCTGCTACAAGCAAAGAATATTCCTGTAATTAACCAAGTAACTCATTTTCATATCATCTCCTAAAATAAATTAATTCTTTTGTCTATCAAACACTGCAAAGAGAAGCTCGGCATGTACAGTTCAGGAATAAAATGTCTTAAGTTCCTTAAGATGATTAATCAATTATATCTTTTTAAGTATTTTTGATCAGTTAATCAATTGATGCAGTTTTTTCAAACAAGAACAGCTACAAAAGCCTGCGAGGCTACAACTAACTCTTCTAACTCCACAGCCAAGAAAGCAGCTCAGTAGGATTTACTCACGTCTCTTCTGCAGTAGGATGATGACCAGACACGTCAGGACCTTCAGGACCTCCGCCATCACCACGGCCGACGTGGTGAAGAAGCGGTCGCCTGGCAACGTGCGGACGTACCGGATGCTGAGGATGAGCGATGCATTCTGGACCACGAGCACAGCCAGGCTGATGTACTTCAACCGTCTGTTAACTACAGGACAAGAGCTCACCATAAGGCTCACCACAGTTTTCATACGAGGAAGAGATTTTACAAAAGAGCAGCAAAGTTTAGGTGCTCCGCTTTAGGATGACGTGACTGCATCAGGGGTATTTTGTGGGCCACAAAGAAACCAAACAGAACTTGAGTGGACCGAACAAATGAAATGAACTAATAAACCATTAAAAAAAAATAAGCGTGGTAATAAGCAGGCCTAACACGATGCATGTTTAGCATCCACAGGCCACGATGCGGCTGACTGATTGGCTTACCATTAATGGAAAATTAAACCTCAGTGCAAAGTTTTTAATCCATCAGTAATACACTCACTTGATTCTCAGGAGCAGCTTTCTTATCTTTTACTTCCATCTGAAAGCAACTTTAACACTGTACTGTAGGGGTGTCAAACATGCAGCATGGGGGCCAAAACCGGCCCATCGAATGGTCCAATGCGTTCCGTTAGATGGCCATGGGAAAGAGCCGAGGAGGAAGGCAGCATCACCTTCACCTTGTTGAGGGACACTGAAGGAAAGTGGTGGTGTTGGTGGTGCAGGACTCGACAGTGTGAGCTTTCACTCATGTCTGCACGCCAAGCAGGCTTCGTTACCAAGAGCACAGGTTTTTTTTTTATTAAGCACAGGTTGCTAATACCCCTGTTTACATTCATACCTGACTTAATTCTTCATGGCATAGACTCAACAAGAGCATCACACAGCTGTTTGCTTTTCTGTGTATGCAGTAATGAATATGTCAGCTTCATGCAGACCAGTAAAACCACAGGGGCCCAGTGGGAACATACGTCTGTTGTGGAAGTATGGAACAGTAGACCAGTTTTTCCTCCTTGGAACTTCTTCTGGTGGCTGTTTGCATGCTGTGTCTATTTCTTGTCCTAATGTATGTGAAGCCACTCAGGTGTGCCAAAGGTGTGACGTTTGTCAACATTTTTAAACAATTCGGAGCCGTTTATCAGCTAGAACGGGTTCTCTGCTATTCCAAGGGTGTGTCTGGAAGTTTCTACCTGAGTGCACCTGGCTCTGAGGTCTCCGTGGCTGGCCCGGCCTGCGAGGCCATGCACGCACACACACACACGCGCACACGCACACACTAAGGGGGAGGGGGGTGAGCACAATGGAGTGCGTGTTCTCTGCAGAGGAATAGCCCCGTGTGTGTGTGAGTGTTTAAACCACAAACTCCGCTGGGCTCAAAGTCCACGTCACCAGCCGTGGCTCACTAACACACCTTCACACTGCACCTTGATCATGGCAGTGTGTTAGCGTTAGCAGCCAGGCAAGAGCCCATTAACAGACACGGACTAGTTAGCTGCTGAGTTAGCCGCTACCTGCTGAGGCTGCTGTTTTTCACTCGTTTAAAATCACCTAAAGTTTTATTTAATAAACACCTGACTATCGGCATTAGCTAGCTAGCACACAGTTTAATCTTTCTGGTTAACTAGTTTCAAGTCGTCGTTAAGTCTGTTTACTCTGGTTGGCTTAGCAGGTAGTTAGCTTGCTTCCACCACTCTGCTAAAACAGACCGAGAAACTTTATTATATTTAATTTATGTTAAGTTCAATTTCATTGTTTTAAACTCTCCATCCCTCCGAGTCTTATTCACCCACTGACCCAGGCTCGGAGCCGTGAGGGCCGTGTGAAGTTATCCCAGCTCTCGGCTCTCCCTCCGAGGACTGCTCACCTTCACTCTGACCGCGGGTCGCTGTCTTCTCCTCTCCCGTCTTGCTGAGGTCCCCCACGGCCATGCTGCGCTCCCTGTGCTGCCCTGCGAACCGAGCCCTTACACCGCTGCCTGCTCGGCTAACACTCCGTTAGCCCACCAGCTAGCCCCGCTCTCAGTTTAGACCCCACCGGAGCTCCCGTTCCGCGACGTACTGCGCGGCCTAAAGCGCCGGGGCCGTCCGATAAATACTGGGCTGGAGGAGAGAGGAGGCTGCGGAGGAACAACCGGAGGACCCACCGGGATCATCAGGAGGAGAAAAATACTTCGTGTAATATGTGAGGTGTCCAGGAACTGAAGAGACTACAGCTGCAGAGACAGGAGCGGCGAGCAGGAGGTCTCACGCTGTGGGAGAAAACGGGGCGCAGGAAGGGAGGACCACAAACTGCCCGACACCAGGAGCTCCAGAGAAACTGTCAGAGTGAGACATCCTTCTCTCCTCCTCTACCAACAGACGAACAATCCTCCAGGTTTAGCAGGGAGCATTCCTATTGGCTGCTGGTGGGACCTCGCCTGTCAGATGGTTTGAGTGTTCAGCGCCACCTCCTGGTCAAACATGGAGGAGACGTTTATCCAATGAACGAACACACATACGGGTAAATATTACCTTTATGAACTGCAGTCTGCTGTTTTAGATTTTAATTCACAGTATGATTTTTAAAATAAAAAAAAATGACTTTATTTATTTAATACGAAACCGAATCAAATCAGATAAGAAGATTAGATTAGATTAGATTAGATTAGATGAAACTTTATTAATCCCTCGGGTGGGTTCCTCCGGGAAATTCAGTTTCCAGTAGCAAAGCACCGAAAGAAGTTGCATGTTACAGATACATTAAGGGGAATGAGAGTAAGGATATAAGCATAAATACACCATATATACACATATATAGATACAGAATATACAATATGGATAAATAGGATTGCTCATTTGAGTGAGTATATTGCACAGTGATTATTGCACAGTCAAATATAAGAAAAAAGACAAAACAAAAACAAATATTGCAAATATTGCACAGTGTAGAAAAGCACCTACAGCTCAGTTGTTCCCGCCCTCCCTTGTCCCCCTGTTTCTCCTCCCTCTCCCCTCCAGTGAGGAGTTAAACAGTCTGATGGCGTGTGGGACAAAGGAGTTTTTAAGTCTGTTGGTTTTTGACTTTGGGAGAAGCAGCCTGTCGCTGAATAGGCTCCTCTGATTGTTTAATTCTGCTGGTACTCCAACAAAAACATCATGTTTGATTAATTCTTCATGTTTTCTTTGTATCTGCTTCCTGTACCTTCAAACTGAGCATCAGAATGAGTAACACTGGTGATTCAACTGACTTTGAATGTGGCATAGTTGCCAGATGGGCTACTGCTGAGATTTTACCGCACACCCATTTCCAGGGTTTATAGAAAAGAAAATATCCAGGTGAAACGACTCATTGATGTCAGAGGTCAGAGGGGAAAGGCCAGACTGCTTTGAGGTGAAGGCAAAAGTAGCTCAAATAACTACTTGTTACAAGCATGGTATGCAGAAGAGCATCTGTGAGGGTAGAGCACGGTGAACCTTGAAGTGCACGAGCTACAGCAGCTCTATTGTTGCTGTATTGTTTAGATGTTAGAGTCAGAATTTGGCCTAAACTGCATGAAAGCATCTATCCTGCTTTGTATCAGTGCGTCAGGCTGCTGGTGATGTAATGGTGTGGGAGATATTTTCTTGGCACTCTTTGGTCACGTAGGCCCAGCTGACCATTGTTTGCCTACCTGAGTAGTGACCACACTGTATCTGTCCTCTGATTGGTCCGTCAGGCAGGATAACACACTGTCATGAAGCTCAAATCATCTGAACATGACGATGAGTTCACTGTAACGAAACGGCCTCCACCGGCAGCAGATCTCAGTCCAACACAGCATCTTTGGGTTGTGGTGAAACAGGAGATTGTGCAGCTGACATATCCATGATTGCTTTTCATAATTATTCGATTTTTAATTACAATCAATCAATTTTAATTGATTTCATTGTAATCACGCACTGTTTTTACTTACATGGATTTGATTTTCTACATTAAAATGTAAAGTTTTATCTTTAATGTTAATCATTTCATTTTATTTTGGACGTTTTTGATTTGATAATTTAAAATTTTCCCTCTCAGTTTTAATTCAGTAAATCCCAAATTTTGAATTTTCCTCTTATTAATTTAAATTTGTATTCAACAATTATATCATTAATAACTTTGTCTCAAAGGTTCTTACAGTTGCACTTGAGTTTGTTGACATTTCTGTCACTACAGTTACTAAGTGACTAAAAAAATACTTGTTATCATTTTTATGTCATATTTGTGACATATACCTATATTCATTGTTTTATATTTCATGTTTCTCTTTGTAAAAGTAGTTTTTCCTGCTGGATTGTTGTACAGTACATACTTAAAGTAATGCAGTAAAGCACCTCATGTGCATTTCAGTAACTCTTCTTGATTGCATGTTGTGCAGCGAGGCAGCATTTCCAGTTTTAACAAGTCACCAATCAAGCGCTTCAAGCTTCAAACCAGTTTCTTCTGAAGCTTCACCTCGGGGCTTCTTTGGCAGGTCGAGGAAAACCACTTCACCTCCCACAGCACTCACAGACACTGATCTCTGCTCTTAGACACAAGACTAAGGTGACATAACCTCACAGTCCTCCTGAGCTAATAGGAGTGTTTAATATAAACAACGACATTTAACTGCTTAGTTTTGGTGCAGCAGCTTATTACATGAAAAAGCAAATTAAAAGCACTGCTCAGACACAGACTCTGTGCTCACAGCCCAGCGTCGTGCAGCTTGTTTGGAGTTGACATAAGAGCTACGAGGTCCAGCTCTAGGACTGCGTTGTCTTCACAGGTGAGAGCAGGTT